GTGCTCACCTGACCTTGTCCCTCCTGTCCTGGTCACTAGGAGGTCAGATGCCCTCCTCATGGCAAGGAACTAATAAGAAATTAGCTGGTGGGGCTGTGCTTTATGGCTCTGGGTGTGCTTTACAGACAAGTGCATAACAGTGATTTGCAGAGCATAGCAACCACCCTGGGAGAGCCTACGGGCCATAACAACCAGTTGACCAATCAAAACAGGGCAGGTTGTCCAAGCCTGGAGGCACACCAATCCTGAGCCTGTACGTACCCCTAGATACTCCCCTTACGCTGCCCTATAAGATCCCTGCCTCGTGGTTTCTCGGGGTCTTTTTCCAGCCATCCATGCGGTGGATGGATGAAGGGCCTGAGCTAATAAACAACTGCAATAAGACACTTTGCTTTTGCAACAAAATGGGCCTCTTGGTGATTTTGGGGTTCAGAATTTGGGCACAAAAACACATACACAGAGTGAGGAGGGGGAGGGAGAAAAGGGAGAGAGAAAATATTGATGAAGTTGTAGATAAATCAGAACTTTCAGGTGATGGTCACATGATGTAATATAATTTATTTCATTTTCATTTTATATGTATGAGTGTTTTCCCTGCATGTATGCATGTGTACCACTTGTATGTCTGTGGCTCACAGAGGCCCATGAAAAGTCTTCTCCATTCCCTTCTTTTGCACCAGACTTCCCCCTTTCAGATCTGCTTTAGCAACATGGCCTCCTAGAAGCTCTCCTGGTTCACTGACTGGGATGTCAGCTTCTTGAGACTCACTTTCCTACTATGGGCTCTAATTAGCTGGCACAGTCCCACCAGCTAATTTCTTATTGGTTCCTTGCCATGAGGAGGGCATCTGACCTCCTAGTGACCAGGGGAGGGACAAGGTCAGGCAAACACGTTAGCTGTCATGGCTGCTAACTCTGGCAGGGGGGGGGGGGGGGGGGCCCGTGTGTGTGTGTGTGGGTGGGTGTGGGGGTGGGGGGGGGGGGGGGTGTTGAGAGAGAGAGAGAGAGAGAGAGAGAGAGAGAGAGAGAGAGAGAGATTTTCAACTGGGTTCTAGAACTTTCTACACAATATTGACTTATATCAACCAACTGCTCATTCAACTAGGATTCTGAGAATCCTACCTTGAGGCACAGAAGGCCCAGCAAAAAGTACGGTACTTA